GGAGCAGCCTAGCTTTAATAAGCTTTAGCTTAAAGATCGATATCTTATATAATAATAAATATCGAAGCGCTTTTTCTTTCTTTTCGAAAAGCTCGATTTTATAATCGTAAAACTTATATAATGCGAGCACGTTGCTAACGGCTTTAAAAAACACGTGTGTATAATCGAAATACTTAAGAAAAATAAAAAGGTCGTTAATAAGCTTTAACAGTTCCGCTATAAAATCAATAGCAAAGATAAAGCCGTTAATAAAGCGTGTTAGCGCTGCTTAATAATCAGCTTAAATAAAAGCAATCGTTTAACGCTCGAAGATTAAGCAATCGAGCTCGTAAAAAGACGTAAAAAATAATTCTACGTCTTTTTAACGAGCGATCATATAAAAAGCGTGTTCGAAAACGCTGTTGATTTTAAAGTTTCTATTGATTTTATACTTAAATATTTAACGAAAGCGTTTAACGAGTAAAAAAGGTTTTACGAAAGCGATATCGGTTGATACAAGCTTACGGTTCATTTAAAACATTGATTTAACGTAGTCTTTAAAAAAAGTGTTTTTCGTAAAGCGGAAGAATAACGGCTTTACGGAAAGGTGAATAAAAAACGGAGGTTTAACGACCTTAAAAAAAAAGCGGAAAAAAAACGATTTTTTTAAAAAAAAAGTGATTTTACGATTATCGTTATTACTTAATCTATTCGTAAACTATAGTTCACGAGTGAATTAGCGTCGTAAGCTTTTTAAAAGCGGTTTAAAGCTCGATTACGTCTGTTAGCGTCGTATTAATGACGAACGTTTACTTTACGTTAATTAAAGTATATAATTTTAATAGATTTAGCGTAAGTAGCGGTCGAAAAGTTAAAACGAAGCTAATAAAGCTTGCGGCGAGCGCAATCAAAGAGAATCTAATGCTTAGTTAACTATGCTCGTCCGAAGATCACGCTATAATTTCTAAGGTTAATAATAAAAAAAAGAGTAAAAGATTAAACGCGCTTATCAATTATAAAGTTGAAAAGTGTAAAATGTAAGATAATAGCTCTACGAGCTTTATTATATAATTTGATAAAGAATAAAGCCGAGAAAAGTTGAATCAAAAGTTTAAAAAAGAAAAAAAGTAATTTAAGTAACGCTAAGTCAATTAGCGCGTATTTATTAACTCTTGAGTCGAGCAAAGCAGATACTTTATACAAAAGGCTATTCTTAATAAGAATGACGAGTATAGTTATAGCTTTACTACTAAAGAGCTTTATAAGGTCGAGGTATCGTATATCTCGAAGCTAGCTTAAAAAAAAAGCTTTGCTTAAGCTTCGACGTTTCTTTTATTATCGAAAGCGTCGGAATCAATAAAAAAAAGCTCTTGGTGATCTTTAAAAGCGTCGGAGTAAGGCTTATTATCCGAGTTATCCAAATAAAAGCCGTATTCAAGTCTAACGCCGTATTTTATTTCGTTAACTAAATAGTAGCAAAAGAGCTTCGGCGTATTCGAGTCTTTGCGAAACGATCTAAGAGTTTTGATCGCCGATTTAAAAGCGTTTTCGAAAAAAGAGAATTTATTAAATCGATTAAATCGATCTGTACTAGCGCTAAAGCTATTAAAGGTTTAACGTTAAAAAGTAAAGAAAGAAACGAAAGTTAAGCTATTTTAGCGGTTCTCGTAATAAATAATTTGCTTAACCGCTGCTTTTTAAGCCGAGCGAGATTCGTTACGAGCTTTATTATAAAAGCTCTTCGCGAATTAAGTATTATACTTAGCTTGTAAAGCATCGTAAAGCTTTATAAACGCGTATTAGCTAGTAGTTAATTGTTAAACGACGGTTTAAAAGTCTTTGAAAGTTATAGTCTTAATAAATTCTAAATAAAACTAGTCGCGCAGCGTCTTAATGATCTTAAAACGCAAAGCTTTACGTAATTAGTTTTCGTTTTTGATTTCGGCGGTAGCGGCAAGCTTCGAAAAAACAAAGTAGAAGTCTTAGAATTACTAATTAAGCTTTATATAAAGTTTTTCAAACTCAATTGACGCTTTAGCTTTTTTAACGAAATCGTTTAAAAACTCGAAAGCGATTTAAACGAGTTCAAAAGCGATTACGAGATTGCTACGATCTATAACCAAAAAGGTTAAGAACAAATAAGCTGTTCTTTCGGTTTAATCAAAGACGTAGTTCTTGCGTTAGCGTTTTATAAAGAAGTATTTTTCGAAAGCTTTTAAATTGTCGAAGACGCGGGTTTGCTAGTAACGTGCTCGATAACTTAAACCGTTTAAAAGCTTTTGTTTAAGGTTAAGGATCCGCTCGATACGAGCGCGACCTTAAGAAACTAAAGAAGAAGCTTTAAAAGTATTAAATTTAGCTAAAGTACGAAAGTTAGTTAGCTTGTAAAAAAAAAGTAGTTTATCGTCGTCGGCGAAGAAGCAGCGAAGGTTAGCGGTTTTATAAGTAAAAAGAGTGGTTTAAAAGATCGAAGGCTTATATAGCTCTTTGCTCTTAAAGTTATCTTCGAAAGAAACTTAAAAAAGCTTTAACGAGCGTTCCGTAATTAACAAGACCGCTTAAAGCTAGTTTAGTTCTTTTCGAGCTCGACGGGCTTTTTTTTCAGCTTTATTAACGAAGGTTTTTTGTTCGCTAACGCTTTTATCGAGCTTTTCGTTACGGGTTTTCATATCTACGAAAAGCTTTTTAAGCTTAACGGCCTTTCGTTAAGACTAAAAGAGAGCTTAGTGTTAGGCCAAAGCTTCTTCGAAGTTGGTAAAAGCCGAAGGATCATCTTTATTATCTTGCTTACTAATAGCTTCTTCTTAAGTAAAAAGAACTATTAGTTAGGCCGTAAAAGAAAAAGGAGCTGCTAGAGCAGCTTTAAGAAGTATAGGAAGGATTTTGCTCGCGGGGCGAAAGTTGCTATATTATATAAGTGCTATCCTTCAAGTTATACTAAGAATAAGCCTTTTCGTGACCGTTAAAGTCGTTTGAGTGTTTTTAACGTCTAACTACTAAAGAATTCTAAAAAGGAATATTATTAAAGCCGTTCCCGGCGGAATAAAGTAGTTGTTGATAATATAACGACCTTAAGCGATTACTTAAAAGAACTCACGAGAGCGCGGGGGTTCATATAAGAGCTTAAGAGAATCTTAAAGTAATGACTTAGAATCAATAACTATTAAGTATAAAAGTCGAAGGTAGCTAAGGTTTATATACACGAAAGTAAAAGCGCTAAAGACTCGTAAACTATAGTTTATAAGTCAAAAAGCGGAGAATGAGAGAATACGAAGAATACGAAAGAAAAAAGGAAGGAAGTAGCTTGGCGCATATGAGGTGCGTCCAGGAGACCTGGCGTGTCGTCACAACTCGTCCTTTTGCAATTACGTAGAATACGTTTAACTCGGTCTCCGCTTTTAGCTTAAGTTCTTGCTTATAAGCATAGTTTAGATGAATCTCGTTTGACTTAAGTAGCTCTCTTAGCTTTTAGCACTTATTGCTTTACTTAAACTCATTTTTATTCGAGAACTTGAAAGTAAGGCGTTTGTATGCTAAAGTGCTATCGATAGTAAAAAGGTATAGCATTAATAGCTTTTTTAAGATGCTTTTAGCTTCGGCATAATCGCTATCGAAAAGCTTAAAAGTAAAATCACTTAAGATCAATCGAACCTTGATATCTTTATAAGTGAATTGCTTTTTAATTTAGTTAAAGAAAGAGACAAAATAGTCGAGGAGACAAAGGACTTAAGCGCTTTCTTTTTAAATAAAAAATCAATTAGTGATTATAATATATAAATGTTATTATTAACTTTATTAGCATCGTAATGCTTAATACCGAACTCGTCGATAAAACTTTTGCGACTTTTTTATTCGTAATCGAGGCCGATTAGTCTTGGAAATAAAGCGGTATCTTTTCCGTTATAGCAAGTAAATATTGAATTATTAACGTTATTATTAATATAAACGACTACGAAATTTTTATAGCGATTAAGTATCTCGTTGATTGGCTTATTGCTATCGGTGCTAAAAGGGTTAACCTCGATTATAGCGTTATAAGGGAAAGGAATCGATATTATTAAATAAAGAAAATAATTAGCTTGAAGCAAAGAATCAAAAAGCAAAGAATTAAAAGAAAAATAATTACTTAAGTTGAATATAATTGTACTTAAGTGTTAAGGTTGGTTGAGAAGTTAAGTATTAAAGTTGAGAAGTTGAGTGTTAAGATTAAGAAGTTAAAGTTAAGTGTTAAGGTTAAGAAGTTAAAGTTGAGTGTTAAGGTTGAGGTTGAAAAGTTAAGTATTAAGGTTGAGGTTGAGAAGTTAGGTGTTAAGGTTAAGAAGTTGAATGGAATGTAATTGTAGTGATGATGAAAAAAAGAAAAGGAAAAGGAGAAAAAGCGAGTATTTATATAAAAATAAAAGTGTAGCTTAATCGTAATCGAAGCATTGCTTCGATTTATTAAAAGTGAATTATAATATTTAAAATAATGAATCGACGCGGAACAAAGAAAATAACGCGTCGCTTAACAAAGAAAATAACGCGTCGCTTAATGATAATCGATGCAATACTTCGATTCATTAAAGGTGAATTATAATATTTGAAATAATGAATCGACGCGGAACAAAGAAAATAACGCGTCGCTTAATAATAATCGATGCAATGCTTCGATTCAACAAAAGTGAATCACAATATTTAAAACACGAACTCGACGCGGAATGAAAAAGAAACGCTTCGCTTAGTAAATTTAATTAGTAAATCTGATTAGTAAATTTTATTAGTAAATGCTGCACGGAAAGAAACTTTGCATGCTGCACGTCCTTTTGCTACACGTGCTTAGCTTGGCTATAGCTCGGTTATAGCTCGGCTATAGCACGTGCTTTATCGTACGTAATTTGATTAGTAAATCTGATTAATAAATCTGATTAATAAATCTGATTAATAAATGCTGCACGGAAAGAAACCTTGCTTGCTACACGTCCTTTTGCTATACGTGCTTAGCTCGGCTATAGCTCGGCTATAGCACGTGCTTTACCGTACGTAATCCAATTAGTAAATCTAATTAGTAAATCTGATTAGTAAATCTGATTAATAAATCTAATTAATAAATCTAATTAGTAAATGTTGCACAAAAAGAATTAATGTATTTAAAGCTGCTATACGTAACTTACGTAAGGCTGCTATACGTAACTTACGTAAAGCTGCTATACGTAACTTACGTAAAGCTGCTATACGTAACTTACGTAAGGCTGCCATACCTAACGTACTTAAGGCTGCTACACGTAACCCACGTAAGGCTGCTATACGTAACTTACGTAAAGCTGCTACACTTAACGT